ACAATTTCCTGTGGAGTAATGTCGAAAGATTAAAATGGTGTAACACATAGATAATATCAAAGGGCTTGAAAAGTTTTCTTTTATTGTATTTTCTAAGTAATCCAGAGTCTAGTATTGAGATATTTAAAGAGGACAAAAAATTTTGTTTAGTTTTTCTCTTGTCTTTAGGAATTAGGTTTATAAAATTCTGTTTTGTATTACGATTCGCCGTCTAGTAAATAACTATTAAAGTGACGAAAGTAGAGGGGAGGAATTCGTTATCGGTTACATGTGACAGTTACGCGTGAAACATTAATTGACCAGTAAATCGATTGTTCGGAGGAAATATATCGAGGAACGATAACGCTCTAATCGTGGCACTACTCGAGGATTCGTTACGAGAATATTATCCAAAGTACGTCACAGTAAATGGACGAAGATTGATGTGTGTTAGGAGCGAATGCTATAAGCTTTACTTTTTTTTTTTTAAGGGGACAATTTTAGAAATCTGTAAGAAATCATTTACTATAATTCTTCGATAATGGTCTCTGTTGGGGACGAACGATCTAAGGAGCTCGGTAGGTATGAACGCGAGTTTTTTCGGATCGATGGGAAGGAAGAGCCATTAGTACGCCGCGAAGGTCCAGGTCGACCGTTTCGTTTCAGCACGGGGGGAGTACCGTAATGAACAAGGACGTAATTTTTTTTTTTATGACACCGTGACGATTCCGAGCGACGCGTATCTCGGAAACACAGGCGCAATCATTGTTACATTTTAATTTCCGCACGATGTGGTTCAAACGTCTTTTACCTATTGGGAAACAATAACGGCATTCATTATTGAAGTTATTCTTATTCTAATATAATTTGCACTGTCATTAATCCCTTGCCAAACGATTTTCTTTACGACTTCACTGTCAAAAAGTACTTTATCGTTAATATTTACCCAGATACAGTGTTATATTTATTCTGAACCTTGTATGTTAATATCAGCGAAGTAGTATTTCGAAACTGTTGTTGTTTGATTTTTTTCACTTTCATTTTTCTACTTCCACAGTGACCTGATTCTCTCCGCGAAGTGCCGGAGCGATTCGAAGCATCGAAAAACTCGGCCGAAATTTTGCAGTCGATCGCGTTATCCGTGTGGTACCCTCGCGATAGACATCGAATCTCCCCTTGATGCTCGACATGAAGTTTCATTAAACTTGACCGCTTCGAACGGCTGGAAAAGCCCGGGGTACAGTCGCGTGGGCAGTGTCCGGTAACGAGAATACGCTCGAGGGAGCGTGCGGGGTAGTGTGTCAAGGACGCGCGATGTGAATACTCCTTTAGAAGCTGTACGCACGCCAGACCGATTTTCGCGAGGCTTATCGATGTTGATTAGAATTTTCCCAACCGTGCCACTCCCTTTTTCTTCACGTGTTATCGTCAATCAGGCATCGATCCTCCGCGTTGTTTCCATCAATTTCCACTCAGGGCTAAAACAGAGGTTATTTTTGTTTCTACCTAATTATCTAACCATTTGACCATCTGACCATCTGACCATCTTACATCTTACCATTTTCTATCTTACCACCTTACTATTTTACCATTTTACCATATTCTATCTTACCACCTTACTATTTTACCATTTTACCATATCACTATTTTATCATTTTACCGTCGTACCATTTTAACTTTTTACCATTTCACTATTTTACCATTTTACCACCTTCCATCTCACCATCTTCCATCCCAGTTTGGTTCCAACTTGAAGCCGAAATTATCCGACAAACAAACCGAGCAATTAGCGATTCGCGTTACTCTTTAAGCGTTAACGGGCCAGAAAGTGGAGAAGGAGGGGGCGAAAAAGTAACTTCTAAGTTTTAATTAATCCTTTAATTCGGCCGAGAGTCAGGGTAGTTGGAGTAGTTGAAGGTGGAAAAAAAAAGGGGGGGAGGATATCTAACGCTGAGAATTCCCCGGCAGACGTGACTCGCTCACGGATGCATAGAATTTTTCAATAGACACGACCAACAGCTGGCTCACGTGGCCGTAACTTATTCAAAGCATGTGACAACGTTCGTCCGCGTGTAACTGCTCGTTTCGGCCCCATATGACTCTACGAAAAAAATGGTCACGTCGAATCGGTGCGCCTCGGAGACAAAATGTTGGCCACCCAACCCCCACCGTTGCCTGGTTAACCCTAGATTACGAACCTACGTAGAATTTACGTATTGCTCGTGTTTAAGACTGCTAAAATTTTATTAATTGACTATTTCTTTTAGAAGTACCTTGTTAACTTCATGTATCGATAAGTAACCATGTTCATTTTTAAAAAGAAAAAGAACTTCATCATGTAATACCGTTTTCTCGTTCAAAACCCCAATTTTCTATAAGTGGTAGGGGATCCCTAAAATTTCTTTCAAAAATATAAAAATTATTGCAGTAGTTTCCTGAGATATAGAACGTACTCGGAACGTAAAAATATGTTCTCCACTATGCACCCTCGGCTTCCGTTAGGGGAAAAAGTGGGGTAGGGGAAGGGCCTTCAACCACTTGGTATCGGGAATTACTGAAATTTATGCCAAATTAACATTCGATTTAACATTTATTTCAGTATTTGAAATAAATTTACCAAGTGGTAGGAGGCCCTTCACCTACGCTGCTTTTTCCCGTAGCAGGAACCAAATTTGCACGTCAGTGTACGTATTTAGAAGCGACAGCAACGAACGGGTACGTTGGCGAGAGATGACCAAGAAAGGGGGGGTAACGAGAAAACGCGCGGAAGATGCAATTTCATATTCTAATACGCCCCAGAGTCCTCGCGTCATCTTTCCTGCATAAGTTCTTCCGGAATTACGCAAGAGGATCAAGTTCTTCTGAATGTTCTTACGCGGCGCATTTCCATAGTCACGGGCGTAGAACAAAGAGAGAAAAAAAAAAACAACATAAAGTGTAACGCGCACCATATGATTTACGAATGTATCATTATTGTGTCACGCACGAGTAGATCTCGTTCGGTCGCGGAACATTTCATTTAAATACGAATTTTTTACCCAGTTAACGATTGAATCGATTGGAAGTTTGAGGTCAGACGGGTGCCTTTGTTGTTATTATAATGAACAAGACAAGTGTTGTTCGTGTAAAAGATACAGTCATCTTGGCTGAGATTATACAAATTGGGATCAAAACTGGTAGCTTATTCGTCATAGCGTACGATCAGGAAACGGGAAAAAAAACACTGCATTCGGTTTCTAGATCGATACCCACTAATCATTGTTTTTCCTACTCTTCAGAAGTCAGATTCACCTCTCGTGCTCGGTTCAAGTATTATTCGAATTCCTGGAATTCAAGCATTGTCAAGGTGTAGTTTAAATATTCTGACGTGTCAAAACTTCGGCTGTGTTAAGTATCGGATATTACTAACTTTCAGTTAAGATTACAGATAAAAAAGGAGAAGAAAAATCTTTTCAAAATGAATGGTCCCAAGGATTTTTTTACTGCAGTTTTCATCGAACTTTCTCAGTTCTGGCCGCAATTCTGGCATTTGAAACATGGAACGAACCTAAGAGTTTTGCCGTATTTTGTTGGGAGCCACTTTTAGACTTTAAGGGAGAAACCACCCTTTTTATCCGATGCATCCCCTTTACTTATTCGTTTGTAACTCGCAAGTTTCAAAAGATATCGAAAAAAAGTTTACATAAATTTTGTGTCGTTTTTAGGTGGCCATATATCAGTAGGAAGAAATTTTCAAAAAAATCAATTAAATTATTTTCTTGAAAATTTCTCTTTATTACATTTTATTTCGGAAATTGCAAACGGTTGAATTTGATTCGCAAAAAGTTGACTTTGATTTGCAAAAGGTTGACTTTTATTTGAAAAATGGTGAATTTGGAGTGCAAAACCTGTAGTATCTACATCGGGACGAAGCTCTCCACGCTTGTTCGTCGATAAATACGCAGGAAAAGTCTTCTTGCGTGCAACCTTGGCTCGGTCGCCTCGTACCCGGTTCGCGAACATAATCTCGGTTCCACTTACACTTGTTAACCAATTATCGCGACGCCTCGACCTCGCCGAGTTTTCGCTTCCGTGCCACGCTCCGCGGTCTCGTTTTCGAACGCGACCGGTATCGGTTAATCCGGATAACTTAATACATTCGCTAAATTTTTTAGAATTTTTCAATTCAGATAATCCACTTCCAAGATATCATAGTCACCATAAACCCCCGTTATAAACAGGACCTCCGGGGTAATCGCTGATAACTTCGTCCTAAATAAATATTTTGTAATGCCAAAATTCAAAGAGATACTTTAAAGTACATTCTTTCAAATAAAAAAAAAAAAAAAAGATTGTGGAAAAAGGTGTTACAGTTTTTGTGAGAAAAGTTCCAAAGAATAACGTTTCCCTCGATCTACCGACTGAGCATGACCCTTTAACCTCCCCCAAAAGTTCCAAGTGAAAGCGATCTGGTACGTGACGATTTTCCAGCGTTCTTCGAGTAGATTCGCAATGAAACCGTGATCCACAGTTGCAACGCACTTCAGGATCGATCCCAGTTTTCCTTTTCGGGGTCGCAGGCGCGGGGAACACCCGTGGCCTGGTTCCCGGGCGGAAACTACGCGAAAAAAAAAAAACGCGAGACAAACAGACCCATTGTTTCGTCGCCGTTCTCGAAGGAGCGTGCGAGCTTTCAGAATTTTAAATACAGCCGACAGAGTCGTCGTCTCTCCCGACAGCAACCCGCACCCGGAGTAGGACTACCTTTTGTTTCCCCTCCGGACCACCCCTTCTACCCTTCGAAACCACCGCACCACCCCTGTCCTACAGACCACCCACCCTTCTCCTCACCTCCTGCAGCTTTCCTGGCTTCTTGATCGAACAAAGCGTAGCGGGAGACAGAGTTTCTCCGTGAAAAGCGCGAGGGGGGTGGCCTGATCGAGGGGGGTGGGGGGTCTATAACGGTGATTGTCGTCGTCGGCCCGCCAGTTGAATGCAAGCCCTTTTATTGTCCTCACTTTCCGCCCGTTTTCTTGTTTCAGTACTTGATGAGTGGCTGGGCGAAAGGATACAGCTTCCGGTGCCAGCCGGTCGACTACTCGAACAGCCCCATGGCGCTCAGAATGGCGGAGACGTGTTGGTGGTATTACATCAGCAAGTTCACGGAGTTCTTCGATACCGTGAGTATATCCTATCGATGCGTTCGATCGATCGTTTCGCTGTATCCCATCCCCTGGTCCGATGATGGAACCTACGTGGGCGGTCTTTTGTTTCGTTTCAGGGGGTGGGGGGGCTTTTAAGTGATGCGCAAAATCGGGACTCTTGTCCGGGGAGTAGCAACTTTGTGCTTGTTAATAGAAGGGTTAGGGAACCGATGGTACGGTGGAGTACAGGGGGAGAAAGATTGTGAATAGAAAAATTTAATTTCTATTTCAGTTTACATTTCTATTACCATTTAATTCTGTAATATGAAAATGGACATTCTTACGGGGTTAGCAACTTTGTTCCTGTTATCCTGGATGAAACGATAGAGCATCGGGAAGGAAACTGCCAGAAAATTTACGTACTTACAAAATGTATCGCTGGGGGTTTCCAAGGTCCAATTTATGTAACCGAGTGAATAAAAATTGTGTTTGCATACAATTGCAAGCTTTGAATTCGTTTTCGTGGGAACCGGTAATGCGAGGTCAAACGGCATTCTTGTTCTGCCGTATTCGGCATTCTTGTTAACCGTGTTACGAGGTTCAGTTCCATTATTGCTATCGTGGTTTTGTAACCTGATCGATTCTGACAGTCATCGCTTGAGACGCACAAATTTAAGTCTTATCCTTTGTAGACATTGAACACTGGACTATGAATGATCGTGAAAATTCGGAATTTACTGAGTAATTTTTTCGCAAAATTTTACACAAACAGGATATTAATTTTGTCATTGGTAGTTCCACTTAGATGGAAACAAAAGATTCAGCTATTGAAATAATACTGGAATTGTCATGCTGTTCTTACTTCTTGATCATCCGTGCCTGATAGGACACTAAGATTCTTTAGATCGTTGTTTGTAATTTATTTCCCTCACAAATATTTATATTTTATCTCAAAAAAAAAAAAAAAAAATATTTATATCTCAATATACGTTCAAATTTACTATAATTACAATTCTGATAATTGAATAATTACCAATCTTGTATTTGAATAAATGAATAATTACATATTTTGTAAATGCTGATTACAAATGCATCGAGGTTAATTACGTGTGTGCGCTTTTCCAGCTCTTTTTCATCCTGAGGAAGAAGAATCAGCACGTGTCGACTCTTCACGTGATCCACCACGGGATAATGCCGTTCTCCGTGTGGATGGGGATGAAGTTCGCGCCAGGTGGCCATAGCACTTTCTTCGCCCTCTTGAACACTTTTGTTCACATAATAATGTACTTCTACTATATGGTGGCTGCGATGGGCCCTCAATATCAGAAGTACATCTGGTGGAAGAAGTACCTGACTACTTTGCAAATGGTAAGTTTCACTCGACCGTTGTCAAATTTTATTCACCGAGTGTAATTCAGAAAAAGGAATATGTTTACAGAACTTGAGTGTAAAAATAAACAATGCGTAGGGCGTTTCGAGTCGTACATCCCAGACAGCACATGACGCCTTGAAGACGCCCATTTTACGACTATTTTAGGTCTAAGGCGTGTTTGAGCCGACTTCAAGGCGTCATTGCTATTTGGGTTTATTCCACGAATTAATGTACACTGTAGACATTGAGAAGATTGATAGTTAAAAAAAAACTGAAATTACATTGAACAATATTCTTAGTGTAAAATATTAACTTTGATAGCTTACTAATCCTACATACTAATACTACTTACTAATACTACTACTACATCACTATCCCCTCTGTGTCGTACGAGTTGGAACAAACAAGACAGAACTGCGCCGTCAGCTAATAAAGCACTTACTAGAAGGGGCCACTACTCTGTAATCGTGTTACCAGGCTCGATCAGTATGATTATAAAAAGGGGGAATACTGTGCGCACTAGATTACGAAGGTAACTTATAAAAACTCACGGCGGGAAACAAAGTTCCAACTACAGATCCTCTCAAACTGATCAAATTATACAGGGTCTAACAAAAATGTTGCCGGTCCCTGGAATGGGACACTCGTGAGGCAATTTGGAACAAGTTTTTCCTCAGCAAAAATGTTATCCGAGGCTTTGTTAACGAGATATTAGCGAAAAACCCCGACCAATCGGAGCTCGAGCCGAGTTCCCGCGGTAACATTGGTTACCAATCGCAGTGCGTACCCAACGCTACCGCGGTTACTCGGCTCGCGCTCTGATTGGTCGGGGTTTTTCATTAATATCTCGTTAACAAAGCCTCGGATAACATTTTTGCTAAGGAAAAACTCGTAACAAATCGTCTCACGAGTGTCCCATTTCAGGAACATGCTACATTTTCATTGCACCCTGTTTACATGACTCGTATCCAAGTGAATGTCATATTGCACTAGGTGATCGTTATCAAGGTTGCCGTCTAACATTTCCAATCCTAACCAAATAAAACCTCGTAGGGAGTGGTCGTTAATCGGTCGAATACACGCCAAGGGGTGAAACAGGTGGGGTGGTTCCCCTTTGACTTTCCATTTCCGGCCCGCTGAGAGACCACGTTCACCGTTCTATTTAATCGATACTGGTTTCCCGTTCTGTTTCAGGTGCAATTCGTGATGATCATGAGTCACCAGTTCCAGCTGCTGTTCACGGAGTGCAACTATCCGCGTGGCTTCATGATCTGGATCGGTCTGCACGGCGTGCTCTTCCTCGGTCTGTTCTCGGACTTCTACAAAGCGAAATACGTGGACAAATCGAAGAGGAAATCGTCGAGGCACAGCTCGCAGAACGGCTCCACCGGCGGCGGTGGTCTATGCATGCCCGTGCTCGAGGACTCGAAACCGCGGCAGAACGGTGTCTCGTCGTACGCGACGATCTACAACAAGGAGTACAACAGCTGTTACAGCAACGGAACCAACAACGGTTACGTGGCGAACAACAACACGGAGAAGAAGCTCGCTTAGGACAGTTCGCGTATGGTCGCTGCAGAGAAGCTCGGGACAACACCGAATCGATTGCAGCACGATACATATTTAAATCCGTTACACGGTTCGAACTCTCGGCGACGACGCTCGACGGCTGCGACGACGACGATCCTGACGCGACGGTGGCGGCGCTCGCGTCATTCAGCTTCTTGATTGCTCCGCCAGGGGGGCACGACTGGCGCTCACGTCGCGGAGCTTCTCGAATGCCCGCGAGGGGGCGTGGTCGACGCGAGGAGGGACAAGAAAATGGCCGTTTGCCGCCACCATGCCAGTGTCTGCTGTTGTTGTGTTGTTCAAGCGCGCGTTCATTGTCGTCGTCGTCGTCGTTGTCGACGAGAGAACCAAGTCGCAGCATGCGTTCGATAACCGGCTAACGCTTCTTCGAGGAACACTCACATATACGTTTCATTTTGTATACTATCTGCTGTCCACCGAGAGCGATCGTCGCCTCTCATATCCGTATGGGAGTGGAAGGGTGGGGCGCTGGTGGGTGTGGGGGGGGGGGTTGTTACACGTAAGAACTCTAATTATCGATAAATTAATCAATCGTCACCCGCGGGATAAGGGGCTCGTGTCCGTTGCACACTTCTTGTATATTGATTGCCGCGTGTACACGTGTGTCATGTACACCACATAAAATCGCATTTACTGGTCCGCAACGGGCTTGCGGACGACCACGTTTACAGACGGCCTCCCGGAGTTACGGCGATTTTCTTCCTGGGCCAGACGCCGCGTCGTCGGGCCCCGGATCACGACCGACGATGACGAAGAACGACGGAGAAACGCGAGACGGAGAGCCGGAGCAACAACCAGGCGGACAAGATTAAAACGCGCACACACACACACACCACGAGATCAGTAAATTTTAGTAATGGTCAAGAACCGGATCCCCTCGTTGTGGAACCGGATAACGATCCTCTCTCTTTTTCTCTCTCTTTCTCTGTTTTCTCTACGCCGCTATTGTGTTTGTGGATATACTTGCGGATCGCGGGGGTATTCTCGCGTGGAGATCGTTTTGTCGGAGGTTCTGTCGTGATTTGTGACGAGGCCATTTTCGTACGGGACGCACCGGAGAACAGGATCGATCTCCGAATGTTTCTTTAGGGGTGTGCGGGTAGCTAAACGTTTCCGGATCGTCGGACCCGACAGAGGGTTTCGAATGGAAACGGAGGATATCCGAAACGAAAGATTTCTTTTATTTCCTCGGACCGAGTACACGTGCATCCGTCGGGGTTTCGCGGTACCGTACCACTAATCTGGCGTTGCGTCTACGACATTCGATTGTTCAAACCTTGGGGAGTAGGGGGCGGGAAAACGTTACAAATCATGAGTAATGTAATAATAATTTATTATATACTGGAATGTAAGAAACGCGTCAACTTTATATTATCTACTTGTTGTTATGTATGTCCACCGTAAGAAGAGTGTTCTCCACGGAGACACTTTTTGGGGAGATGGCTTTCGAGATCAGAGAACCTTTTGGATACCCGCAGACCTCTATATGTAACCGTGTTCCCTTATCGTTGTCCGACTCTGTCTCTCTATTGCCCTGATTGTGTTCAGAAAGCTTTGGTGTTCGTCGTAGAAAATAAGCGTCCGTCGATTAGAGGGAAGAGGAGATTGCACCGTGCGGCTCCTTTCTCTTGAAGCTTGGTTTCGCCCCTTGCCCCCCCCCCCCTCCTTCCCTTAAGTAAAGTCGCGCAATAGTTGAATGTAGTCGCGGCAACAAGGACGTGTACCCTTCGCGAATTAGCTTTTTTACGGCTCGAGAAGTCACGCATATTGTATACTTGTGTTTTCGTTAGTCAAATCTCTGCGACGTCGCAAGCTCTCTCTCCCACTTCCCCTTTTATCTCTATTCGAATAGCGGGGCGGAATCAAGCTTCCGAAAAAGCACTCGAAATTCTCTTTGACGAAGAAAAAAGATAAAAAAAAGTAACAAATTTGTCTGTTGTTTGTGCCGTTTTCGTACCGGATCGGGTGAACCACCGGAAGTGAAGTCGAATGCGGAATCGTTCCGCGTGTAATTCTGTACGTACGACACGTGTTTACAAAATGCATTAGAGGAAAAGGAAAGAAACGTTCAACCGCGAGAAAATGAAAATCGTACAGCGTGGATCTTCTTGTTAAGGTTTACGGGAACTTTTTTTGTATACTATCCTGTTTGAGCGAGAGGACCGATCGAAGAATTTTTATTTGTGACCGAAAAAACGATGTATAAACAAAAAGAGGAAGAAACGAAATCCGAACGCGAAGAAAACACACCGTGGGCGAAGAATGAAAAAACAGAAATGAAGAGAAGCAAAACACACACGCGCGCTGCGCGACGGAGAACAATTCGATCCTGCGAAAAATTCGATGATTGTATATTTTTACAAACGGGAAAATAGATCGATCGCGCGTAATAAAAGAAAACTAAACGAGGAACGTTGCGGTTTGATATAATAGGTGTCAAAGACGTGCTTTCTTGGTGAAAGTATTCGTATGTAAACAAACAAAAAAAATTTATTATGCCAAGTTTTAAATAACGTATTAGAGAAATATTTGACGAGGAAAAGAAGAAGAAAAAAAAAGCGATTTATAATAAAAGACGGAGAAAAGAAACATACGGGAGAAAATAAAAAAAAAAAAACGTCGACAAGACTGTTACTATAGACGTAAAAATGAGCGTGCAGGTGCAAATATTATTAGTCTCGGATCTACAAGAGGGGAGAGGTTCCACGTGGAACGAACGTTTTTTCTTCTGATACGCTAGCTTTTAACAAACGTTGCATTTCTATTTCTTTTTCTCGCATCGCCGGACGGGGCACAAGGACGAAGCCCCCTTTTTTCTCCTTGTCCGCCACGTCCAGAAAACTGTACAGGAATTGATCGTCGAGTTTACAATTTAGCGAATAATTTCTTTTTTTTTTTTTTTTCTATCTTCGAAGCAAATGAGTCTTACCCGCTCAAACTGTTATTCCCTTATCCCTTCCGTTCACGCGAGAAATTTCTGGGCATATTCCCAAAGTGACGGGCGAAGTCGACGGCGGTGTAGCCGTGTTAGCGTGGTGTGATAATTAAAATTGTTCTCGTCCCTTTGTAGCTTCTCTATTTTTTTTTTTCGGTGGAAAAGACGCGCTTTTCCCCACCAATCGGTTTCTACGACAGTATTTTGATACCACCGAACCACCAGTAGGGCCAGCCATAACGGTTCGGATAAGGGAATACACCGAAGCTCGTTCGAACATCGAGCCGCCAAGCATTTCGATATACATTTCTTCCTTTTTCTTTTGTATCTGGACCCTAGTGCCACCGATGCTTCGAAGATTTAATTTTTTTTTTTACAAAATAAAGGTACTCTTAATGCTAATATACGAACGCAGCTTTTCCGATACCACAATACTGCTGACATAAAAATAGTACACGGACCAGAATTCCAGCTATCGAATTACCTCGCGTTCTGTTGTTTGTAGTCAGGCGCCGCCACGCGTTTTCGCTTTAACGCCATCGTGTTGTGTGTATGTGTGTGTGTGTGTGTGTGTACGTATGCGTATGAAAACGTGTGTACCGAGGGTGTATACTGTTCTTAGGAAAAATTACCTACACGCGTCAGAGATGATGATGAATCCTTGGTGAGGTCGTGGAACATTCGAATGAGAGACCCACGACGTAACGTATATAGGATCATCCAGTTTCGGGTGGATAGAACTTATTCGAACGGCGAAAGTGTACATAATCGGATAATGGAGGTTCTCCGCTGTACATTCGATTACGGTGCACTCTTGTAAACTACCGACGTGTTTGTATCGAATACCGTAGGCGTTGGAGACAAAAGCAATTTCGCACCTGTTAAAGTCTTGCAAAGAACTACTAAGTTACGTTTCGACGAAAGGAGGAGGAGAAGAAGAAGAAGAAGAAGAAGAAGAAAACAGTCACAGAACAATATGAATTCTGTCGATCCCACACACACACACCGCGTGTCTGTCAATGGAGGGACAATAAGCCACGTCGACGCCGGGACACGTATAGAAGATTCTAGCGGAATTTCGTAATGTTTCGTGCCGTTTTCTTATCGTACCAAGTCGATACAACCCGCCACTATTGCGCGAGCCCATGGCGGTCGACTAAACCGTTTTTTTCTCCGTGTTCCTTTCGATTCTGACCGGCGGTGGTACACACAAAGGCTGCTTCTCTCGATGTACAACTTTCGTATTTTTCTAAAACGTGAACACGCGCGAGTACCACATTTTTCTGCCAAGTCGTGCACCTTTTTCATAACGTGGTTTCGAATGACTGTTAGTAGACCTAGAGGAACACACGATCCTTCGACGAAATATCACCGAGAGCTTGTGCCCCGGGTCCTTTGCTGTTGGTTACTGGCTCGAGGCTTCCGGCTGTGAACCGTGTTGGATCTTTCAGAAATCAGGAAAAAAAGAGTGGACGGAATCAATGTTCAACGAAAAATGTTTCGAACAACGTGATAGTGTCTAAGGGAGAAAATACTGTACACCAAACGGTAGAAAAGTTGCGATCTTTGTGAAACCATTTTTTTCTAACGAGATGGAAACTCTTTGAACCAAGATTTATCATTGTTTAGTATCTTGTGCGAACCCTAACCAATCTTATTGAATAATTTATTGTAAAAACTAGATTTTTAACTCTATACTAAAAGTTGCGTCACACTGCATGGATGAGAAAGGTCGAAGTGTTAATACGAGTCGCCATGCTGAGAAGGAGGCGCCATTTTTTAATATTAGACATCCGAAGACTGAGAATCGATTCCAGCAGTTCCAACGATATACTTTATCTCTTCCACAATGTCTTCACTTTGTCAGTAGAAATACGTTTTTGATTATTTATTTTAATCTTCAAGGTAGTCAACTGCAGGATGGCGATCAATTGTTTAACCTTTGACAGAAAACGCAAGTTTACGCTCGGAAGCCTCGAATGTTTTGCACCGTATCGAGTGCCATTCCACTGGTTTTGCATGAACGGTGGTCACGTTTCAAAAAGGGGGCAAGTTTGACTCGGCGTTAGAATAGTAAACAATTCGGGTCACGGTTGGTCCCCTTCCGCGAATCGGCCCCATTTTTCCGTTACCTCGACGCGGCACCCAGAAACAAAAACATCCTGTTCTACGCGAAACTGTCGTCGTAGGGTTGATCAGTCGGGATACCCTTCTAGTTTCAATTTTCGTACCCTCTTTCTTTTTCTGGTAGACGGGAATGGAAGGAGAGGAGGCTACACGCGTGTATTGGACACGCCAAGTCGATGATCGATCGTCTTTCACTTTCAGAAAACTGTTTTTAGCCACGGGTGAAAGGTGTCGAGCCCAAGGTTCACACAAGAGGCCGAGGAGTCAAGAGCACACATCGTCATGTACCTACCTAATGTTACGAACTCTGTAATGATTATCGATTCTCATTATATTTTTGTACATAATTGGGGAGAATTACACGAGAATAAAGTGAATTTAAAAGGAGCGAGTTGCCTTCAGCCATGAACACAGGGAAAAAATATGTACATATATCGTTTTATTTGATCGTCCGACCAACCCCCCTACGTATGTACGACTCTCGATACGAACAGCGAAACGGGTAAAGCGAAAAACAATGTGTCAGTGTCAAAGACGATATAATGAGTCCTGCTTCTGACGGCGCCGAAGCATGGGACAAAAAATTAAATTGCATGTTAAGTCACCTTATATCTCGTCTGTGATCGTATCTGCTTCGTTGATGATAAATTTTGTGTTATTTGTCAATCACGCGAATTGTTTCCGCGCGAAATGTATTTTCATGAATTTGCACCTGTTCATCTCTCGGTAAAAAATCGACTTATCGATGTACGCGTCTCGACCGGCTATTTAGGCAAACACCGTGCGTGTCGCAGCGATCACCCGGAACGTGTCATTAAACAACAAGCGTTTCGATTTTGTTGGAAAACCGCGTGCCATAGTTTTGCATGCAAAACGTGTTTCATGACATAATTTACAAATTCTCTTGTATTTGTCGTTCGTAGAATGTCGAAGACACTCGTTATTGATTCTCGATCGTTGATGCAGCAACGTTAACGACCAAATTGAAATGGCAGTTCGACGGTGACAATTCGTCGACGGAAACGAAACTTGATGGCAGAAGATACGGTATCGGTGACAACTGAAACATTGAGATTCTACGGGACACGTGAGTACTATCCTCTTTGTGGCGGATTAAATTACTACGTGTAAAACGTGCATTACGTATTTGCGGCACGGGAACGTCTAAAAACGATTCGAAAGATCAGTCGTAACCGCGGTAATTGTAAGCGTTAGTAGTATTTCACGGTCGTTTATATTTCCGGCGATGTTCTATTTCCGCAGTTTCTGCGCTCAGAACCGCCTAGCTAGGCTATGGGATAAAAACCGATTCTTATCTGGCGAATTTTCCAATTTAAAACGTGTAACCTTCGTGAACTGTATCATCCGAAAACAATGGTGTTTTTAGAAAACGTAAACGGAAATCGGTTCGTAACCTTCTCTATTTTTATCTATGAATATTTTGATGAACACTTAATGATTCTAGGAAGACATAACCCTGGACTACTTTAATAGTATTTCATAACATCAACCAACACCATGTGGTACTTTTTCCAAGCAAATGCTATTAGTGTCATTTCACTTTTAACCGGTATATACTGCTTGCTTCGGTAGAAAATACTGAATTACTTATTAGTACGCCTAACAGATAGACGATGCCGCAAAAACCACGTGGCTGGTTAACACAAATAGATTGCGTGCAATGTTCAGGTGCGTATCAAGAGGATACAATCATTACAGATTGCGTTGCACACCACGTCTATTAATAATAAATTAAGGTAATTACAATGGTTGTGAATATGTCTTTACCACCGACTAATCAAATCATTATGCCTTCACGAAGTAAATGACATAAGTATCCATTCGAACAGCGTTTATTACATTCCCGCCGCAAACGAAGAAAATGCTACGCCATATGTAATCACCAGTTTCACGTGCAGAGTCGCGTATCATTAACATTTCCACTGTCAGAGCAGTTCTTACAAAATATCCACGGAATTAGAACCCTCTTAAGGTTTAACTCAACGTTTCTCATATCCCTTTTCTCTAACTTTATCAAACTAGCGGGCCTTGACGAAATTTATTTTAATGAATATTATATTATAAACATCAATTGCTCGATTCAGGCAAAAGTTGTGCCATTCATAATAATTATACGATAATACAGTGTTTATATATCAATACAGCGACACAATTCCAAAACCGAAAATACCCCTCCGCGATGAAAACGTTTAAACAGAGCCCAACGACCCAAATCAAATATTCGCGCCAATTCCCCCAAAGCCTACCCCAGTGATTTTCAACCGGTTTGTCGCATCACACTGGTCTGCCGTGACAGAACCTTAGATATACCGTGAAAATATTTAAATATGATTAATTAATTTATTCTCGAAAGAAGTCCAAAGCACAATAAGTATACATATAAAAATTAAAACCCCTTTAAATTGATTATACGGGTATATCATTGTTGGACGTTCAACAATACTTTACACAACTGTACAATGAGATAAAGAAGGTTAAAAAAACACTGGTCTACAGTATATAACAGTGTATAACAGGTAAAATAGTGCGTAGTGTGTATCGTTCCTTATCAAAATTGTCGCGCGCCAATACCAAGAACCGTTGGCACCGGCAGCGCCACTAGTCATCGACCGAACTGAAAATCTGACTCACGTGGTCTCAGTCTCTCTTTATTCCCGAACACACCGTCAGGGGGAGGGGGGACGCATAAACGCGTGTGTATCCCGCGCTGTTCGTGCGACTTTTTCGTGTCAAAAATAACCGTTGTGTGATACGAATACGGGTCTGTTCGCGGAACACGTCAAGAAACAATTAAACGTGGCACCATACACACAAGACTGCATATCGTATCGAGTAAAACATAAACACGAGAGATTCTTGCGAGGCATGATGAGGATGGTGTTGTCGCATGGTGGCGACCGCATCACACGTCACGAAAGTAGCGCGCGTTAGACACAAAACGCCGGCGTAACAGGCATGTAAAATCATCGAGGGAACTCGAGCATCTTCGGCGAGCCCCGCCCTGTATATATTTATAAATCGGGATCCAACGAATAGTGTCCACACCCGCGGCCGGCAGACCCGGTACGCTTCGGAAGCACCCGAATCGACCAGCAAGAAGCCGAAAAAAGAGGAAGAAAAAAAGGGCCGCCGATGGAACAGGAGAAGTAAGGACAGGATATACGTTCGCGAGTGGCGCAACAAGTGAAACAAGGGGCCACGCACCGGTGTGCCTCGTACTGGACGCACGCATCACCACGGGTGAGTAGCGTTCCTTTGATCAGCTGATCACACTGTGTGTATATATGTATATGTATACCGGCGTTCCGACCACCATGGTGGAGAGACTACGTATACAGGGTGGGCCAGAATTCGTAGTACAACCGGGCAGGGGGTGATTCTACGTTAAAAAAGAAGAATATAATTTGGTATAACATTTTCTCATCCGGCGCTCCATTTTCGAGGAAATCGACTTTAAAGTTTGTTCAATTTGTAAATGATTTAGTACAATTTGCTTGTCGTATATTCCACTACTGCGTTGTTTTTGTCCGGGACAGTGTTTACAAACATTGAGATGATTCTGTGGATAAAACAATACAAAGTGTTTCTACTGATTACTCATTTTTTATTCTTTTTTCCTACTAATACACGACAAGCAAATTCTACTGAATCGTTTACAAGTTGAATAAATTTTGAAAAAGTTGAAAAAGTGTTATACCAAAAGATTTTCTTTTTTTTTAACGTAGAATCACTCCCTGCCCGGTTGTACTACGATAGTATAGGCGTGTGTTCGATTGCGTTTCTCGGTGGGACGCTGCTGCTGTGCGGCAGCACCTCTTGCTTTTTTTCGTGCCCCGTGATGTAGGCCACCTTGTTTACAGACCTGTCGATGCAGTTGACATTGCGTAGGCGCCAAGTGTTTGCAATGATTCCAAGCTGTTGTTTTTTTAGTTCTTTCGGTGTGACACGAGGTCTGGCAACAAGTGTTTTTACTGTTCAGACGGAATCGAATATATGATTGTATACATATACAGAAAAGGGACTCTGTTTACTTTACTACATACAGTATGTCCGGTTTAAGTGTATACACGATATTATTTCTCTGACTATTGAAAATGCGAAGGAACGTTTCATATGAAAGTTGTTTGATTTTATAGAGCAAAGTTAATAGAATTTTGGAGTCTTTCTTTTTAAATTGTTAGTTACAGAGACTTTAATAACAATGTAATTTTCTTTAAATGGGAGTACCTATTTTTATTACGGCCATGTTATTAGGCCATTTAAGACGAATCCAATGATATTACAATGGATGTATGTACATACTGTGTTTTGAAGTTTTTATCTCCTTGGTGGCGGATTAACTGTGGATGTAGTGTCGAATAAGCCCCTTCGATTTTCATAAAACTTGATGAAATCGTTTGAAATACTCCCAAGTGATGTAAAAGTTCTTTAAACGCGATTGAAAATTAACTGGGATAACGTTAAAATGATGGGGTAATTAGGGAACCCATATATCTCAATAGTTTTGTATTTAGCATTCAACACTCATTCCCATTGCAGAATCAAAGTTTACACGTGACAATGTAAAAACTCGAGGTGACCTTCGTATCTGGATAGAAAATGCAAAATAGGAGAACCATTAATTATTACATTATGTCCCACCTTGATATCATACGGCCTCTCCTTATCAGTGCCGGCGAGTCTCCAAATACTCATCAATGATTTATTGTAGTCCGTTACTCGAGTTCCATTTGAATTTCATTCGATGGTAATTTACGTGTGTAATTTAAATCGCCGCGAAATTTTCGGCTGTTGACCCAATGTCCGATACGCGATTTAAAATGTAAAACGTATTTATACACGCGCGAAGTTTTCGGGGGCTACGGCAATAAATACAATGCATTTAGCTTCGACTCAAAGAAAACCGAATAATATTCTTCTGTGTTGAATCGATTTTGAAATCGTCAACACGAGTCCGACTCGATGTTATAGGGCAAGGGGTTAATAACAGGTGTGTTCGTTGTCCGAACTGTTCGTTAACCGATCACCCACTGTATTTTGTTATGCTGTACTACAATCCCCCCCCCCCCATTTTCGAGCAAGGGGGCCCCCGAAAATTTGATAGCCCTGGGTCACAAAAAATCTTAATCCGAGCCTGGGTCACGGGCGGAATCGGGAACAGCGTGAAAACCGCGCACGAGGCTACTGGGGACACTTCCTTCCTCGATTATACAATCGCGGGCACTTTGTACCTACTTACTTACGACTCGACGCCCGTGGAGAGATAACTCGGGCCGTGAGCGTATCGTCCCCGCGAATCGATTAACCGCGACATGGGCAACGGAAGTGGACGATGTGTGCGGCTCCGTTCAACACGGTCAAAAAGGTACATTTCGTATGTAACCGTGACGTATTTCGCGATCATTTTTACGTAACACGGAAGATCATTACGCCAGGGGTCGTGAAAGAGCAATCGGCGTGGATCGCGATCTTTTGTATGTAAATAACAGGATCTGCCAGTTTCGATAAGGAGGTTTAATCCCACCACAGTGGAACGAAACCATGGAAAAACCGGACATTCATAGATGCGACTTTAGCTCTACTATTTTTTCTACATTATTAATTGTTTTAACACTCGGAATATCTATAGTTCATAATACCATCATCATCGTGTTACAAAATTAAATAAATTGCGTAATTACGTATGGACAATAATGATAAACACCGAATCTAGTAAGATCTGAATCACGAATCGTTGCATGTGAATTTGAAGGTAGGATAAAGTAGGATAAGTAAGAGTTCGACTATTCACGAAAGAAATGTAGAAGGTATACAGGGTGTTCGCGCTATTATTAGCCACTATGCGTTTCTTGCGAGTATTGAATATTCAACAAAAATGAAAGGGGAAAAAGTGGTACTGTCTTTTTGCAAGCCACGTAATGACGTGCGTAATTTTTTGTGCGTAATTTTTTGTGCTTGCACGATTTTTTTCAGAAACGAAGGCGACCTCTATTATTTTTCAAATGGAATGCTGTATATTTTTTTGTACCATATGAAAGTGTTTTTCATCTGTTCCGAAGTCGAAAATCGTTTCGAGATTCATCATGTGAAGTCGCCGGTAGTCCACCGACGTGCGTCGCGAATTTCGGAAGAGTAGTCTATACACACTAGAACGTTATTGACCAATTCGCGTGACAATAGAGAACGTTTCGACATTTAAGCAGGCCGACGAAAGTAGCTCGGAATCCGTGAGCCATGGGTTTCCTGTGGAAATTGTGAAATCTAGTTCACCCGCCGGTGGGAGGAGAGTCCACGGGTTTTTAATCGGCCCGGACGGTCGCGTGGGAATGGTATCGGAAGCAGTCTCTTATTCGAAGTGGTAAAATAAAAAGGAACAGCAGAATTCTTCAAATCGTCTGAAATAGCGAGCGTTTGACTGAACGCAATTTCCGTTTCTGCGCGTTTGAAACGTGTTCGAATTAGTGATGGGACTGGTACGATACTTATTGCTGGTACTCGAAGAATTCGATACCTAAGAATTAGTGGGAAGTATCGAGAGGCATCGAAACTTTTCATACTCAGTCATTTACTTTTTAATACCTCTTAAACTTCGATACAACCTTTTTTCTTACCTACGATTCAAGTAGGTTTCGATACCATGAACGACAGAATTCGAATTTTTCAAATACTTTGTGAATACAGTAAACCCTCGATGAATGTTCGTCAGAGAACAGGGATTACAATGGTACATGTTGTAGATTGAGAAAAGGGGACGTCTGCTTCGTGCTTGTTTCCGTCGAGTAAAAAGGGATGCGCAGGCGATACGAGCACATTTGTGAAAGCGATGACACGGTGTTCACGTATCTGTTTCGTGTTCACACGTAACCGTGCGTAAGAGTTTTCTTGTTACGCCGATTGCGCGCTGAAAGGATAATACCGGATCATTAGAGACGCAATGGGTTTTGTGAGAAACACACGGGAAAGCGTTACGTATGACGCGTGGTATCGAACGAGAGCGTTCGAAGACCAGAACGTTTTCCAGCGCGATGTGTTCAGAACCAATGGGAAACAGTTAAACGACGTTTCATGAATTGGTCATACAGCAAAGAAATAGAAATAGTATGGCTCCTTTTGAACTTTTGGACGAATAGAACGTTTCGGTGTGAAACAAAGTATTTAACATTAATTTTCAATGTTATAAATAAGTTTGCGGCAAGCTTCCTTTTTGTAAATGTCCACCGATTCAGGAGTGTAGATTCACTCTACATTAGTTCTTTGCATCTTGTATAGAAAATATTTGAGAATGAATTCGACGTACAGTAAATCTTCGATGAGTGTTAGTAGTGTTCTAGGCTTACAAGGGAAGGCACGGAAGTGTCCTCCGATTTTGATGAAACTTCGTATGTCTGTTAAGCAGTCAAAAATAAGGGATACGTATTTTTTTTTATCGGCTGTGACGCGACTTTAAGGGGTGAAACCACCCCTCGAAGTTACGACCCGATAGTACTATCTCGAAAACCAGAGGAGATCCATGAAAACTTCTAATGGACGAGGTTTGCGGTTTTTTATGTAGAATAATATGGTGCTAACAAATTGTCCAAAATATAATTTCTTTATAACAAAAAAGTTTCGGATCGAAACTTTGAGGGGTGGTTTCGCCCCTTAAAGTCGCGTCTCAGCCGATAAAAAAAAAAGATGTATTCCTTATTTCTGAATATCATCTTTCTGGAATTCGTTCGACTAACGACTCTATTAATGTTTACGTGGTGACAGTTTGCTCGATTGACACGTTTCTTATTCCCATACATTACTTAATGTGTTTTTCTTTTATTCTTCACCGAACAAGGTACACAAAATTATCAGATTGAACTAGATATTAGAAATATACGTACATGTATGAGGCAAAAAATAGAACATCACATTGTAATTAATATTCAATAAAAAGTTTATTCACGCACAGTGACGCGAACTGTTTTTCTGTATGTTGACGTGAATTTCCGAAACAAAAAAGAAAATCAATCGTATTGTCTCGGTTTAATTGTAAATGAGAAATCAGTGGAATTCATTATGTAACAACAATGTAGGCATTGGCCTGAACTGGCTGTACAAGCACCGGAATACGGAAGACATTCTTGTACCTTCGCTACGGAGCTGGTGCATATGCAGGGTGCGGCGGAATTTGTGTCGCAACCAAAAAAGATACGATTCCACGTGTATAGAGACCAATCGGAAATATAGAATAATATATATATATATATATA